CAACAGATGAATAGATGAACAAAGTGTGTATTCAATGAAATACTATTCTGTCATAAAAAGGAGTGGTGTTTGGATACATGCAAGGACATGGATGAACCTTGAAACCATTATGCTATGTGAAATGAGCCAGAAACTTCATGCGATTTTGCTTATGAGAAATATCTAGACTAGGCAATTCATAAGACATAAGTAGATTAGAGTTTGCCAGGCCTGGGGCAAAGAGGAATGGGAGTGTCTTTGTCCATTTTCTGCTGCAGTACCACACACTGGATAATTTATGAGCAGCACAAGTTTATTTGGCTTAGAGTTTTGATTGTTGCCCAGCCCAAGAGCTTGGTACCAACATATGGGAAGAGCTTTCTTCTTACATTGCCCCAGGAGCGGGTGAGACAGAACAAAATAGGACTGAGCTCATCCTTTGATCACTTTCTGTTACAGCTAGCCCATTCCCGGGATAACAGCATTAATCCATTCAGGAAGCAGCCCTCATTACCTAATCAAGGCCCCACCTCTGAACACAGTCACTATGGCAACTAAGTTTCAACCTTAACAGGGAGGTATAGCTTAATGAACATATAGTTTTTATTGGGAATTATGAAACAATTTTGGAAATAGGCATGATGTTTGCACAACATTGTGAATGCAATTTGTGCTGCTGATGTCCTGAGGGAGGGTTTATGTTTGTCTTATCTCTATATCCCATCCATAGAAAGTAGCACAGTTCTTGATGTTGGCATCAAAGAAATGTTTCTTGTAGGTATGTTTGAAAAATACATTAATGAATTTATATAGCTATAGACAAAGTAGTGTATAATAAATTATCAGTTTATTACAGAATATATTTTGATGGGAGGATAATTTAATATGAAAAAGATACTAAAATATATGAATTTTTACCATAAGGATTTATAATTTAAAGAATTTTAAGAGAAATTGAAGATGAATATCCATAATGATATTATCTAAATATCTATAGAAATCAATTTTTCATTTAGTGAAAACAAAATATTACATGCTCAAAAATATTGCATGCTTTAACTACGACACTATACCAGAAAATTTCATGTAGTCTGTTAGCTCATGTACTCTGTTAATCATCAGAACAACCCTCAAAAGTGAGTCTAATCTTCATTGTCCATATAATACTGAACCTCAGATTTAAAAAGTTATCAGCAGTCACATGACCACAGTAAAGCTAAGGAAGAGGGCTCATATGTTAGTTCATGTCTTTGTGCCTTAGCTCCAGTTGCTACTAATAACCAGTATACTCTGTAGCTCAGAGAGACCCACAAAGTCTTGCTGAGGTCACAGTCGATGAGCTATTGTGCAGTGAGTTCCTTAAGTCCACAGATATGAAAGATAGCAATCACACTGAAGGCAAAAATACACTGGAATTCCAATTTGTATGACTGCAGGGTAAACATTTGAAAAGTTTCAAAACAGACTGTTTGTAACTGCTGCTTTTCTTCTCTAATATTCTTTGCCTGGACTCAGAATCAATGATGGGAGTGAACCACTGATTAGTCCATGGTTTAAGAATAAAAATGGCATTGATGTGGATTATGAAAGCCAACCTCTTATATTTTAGTTAGAGTTACTTTGAAAATTGCTTTTCTATTATTATTATAGACATGTAAATGTTTTTATGAGGTATTTATGTTGAGTTACAACTAATATTTTCCTTTATATGTAAGGCATTAATTTTCATAAGTGAACTTCATTATTGTAATTTAATTAACTGTCCAATAGGAAGTCTAGTTGACATTCTTGATTACCAAACTCATGATATAACACCATGAAATTGGCGTTTTTGGTCTTATGTAAAAACGTAAACAAAATGGAGGCTTAGAGGTGTTTTCAGTAGTACCTTTAATAAGTGAAGAATTACTGATTTGATTCCACATTCAGCTGGTTCTAATGTCCATGGCAAATATAATAGAATATATTCTGCCTCTAAAGGAGATGTCTACAAAATAAAAAGTAGACTTAATACCTTATTTCACTTATAGAAATATATAATATGTAAGACCATTTTTATAAGTGTAGCTTATATATTAGCCCCTTTTTTACAAAAAAAGTCTCTCTGAATATTTATCATTGAAAAGAAGAAAATTTATTATTGTATAGGCATCAACTGCTGAATAAATTGTCTCACTGTATATTTCTTGGAATTCTAATGGATGAAACTTGGTTATCTAAATATCTTGCAGTATTACTTTAAAAGAGTTTGTCAAGGATGAATGGCTCTCCCTTTCTAGTTCTTGTAGTATTCCAATCTCTGTTAGTGAACTTTAAGCCACATCAGGGGTGGCAACATGCTATGAACGCAATATAACTTTTGCAGGTTGTTCCTGTAAATCATAAGGGTAGAAAGTATGAAAGTCTAAGAAGCAGCTCATGGAGATTGAGCCAAGTCTGAGGTCTTTAGTTACCTACAGAACCCATGAACTTTACATTCACCACATCCTGGGTCCCAGTCCCAGCTTAACCCGTTACAAGTTCTGTGAACCTTGGCAATTTATATACTTCTCTATAACTCAATTTTAAAATATGTCATATCTGAGTATTAACACATTTCTGAGTTTTTGTCAGATTACTAATAATATTTGTCAAGTTCATAACATGGTGCCTGGGCACAATATCCAGTCAAAAAGTGATAAATATAATTAATTTTTTTAAAACATGATTTTTAAATCTAGATAAATATGGTGAGTTACAATACTTTTCTGCTCTTCCTTCTAATAATCCCCCCCCTCAATAAAAGAGAGATGGAAAGGTAATTATATCTTATTTTAATAGTACTCTGAAAAGACTAGAAGCAAAAACATAGGTTAATCTTAATTCTATTGTAGCCAAATAGAAGTGAGACTTTGCCTGTCATACTATGTATATTATGTTGGTTTTGTTACTCTCAGAAATAATTTGGTAGTACCGGGACTGCTTTTAGTTATTGCATAATTCCTCCTTTTAATAATGAGTATATAGAATATTATTATTGATGTGATTCCTTAAAGATCTGGTAAGGTCACTACCTTCTGTAAGTTTTACATCAATCAGCTAAAAATGAACAAAATGGAGAGACTCTAGCAGTTTGTTGGAAGAGTTGAGTGTGGTACTACTTCCTGTAAAGCACTTTTAACAGTATCTGCAACGTTGAAAGTACTTATGTATCTATGAGAAAGCCTAATTTATTTTCTCAAGTAGAAAAATGATTTTACTTAGAGTATATTTTAAGTAGTATGTTTCTTAAAAATGGTAATTTCCATTTATTCTTGTACAAACAAGCTCAAAACTTGTCTTGTATTACAGGGTTCTATCAGAATTAAGAAATGTCATTCAAGAATGAATATTCTAAGTACTACAAAATCATTTTAGCTCTTGTATCCTTATATTTTGTTCTTTTTGGATCACAAAGGAAGTGATTTCCATTAGTTTGACTTGCTGACATATAGGTCCTTTTGAGGAAAAGTTGTTTTCAAAGTCATTTATTTTGGCTATGAACAGTTTATTTTTTTTTAATTCCAGTAATTTATATTTATTCTATTTGCGTTATTTTTACCCTCTTGTCAAGCCTAAATTGAGTATTTTGGGCCTCATGAGAATTATAGTCGTCATTCTTTAAGTCCAAATATTTGCCTGATATAATATCTTTGTATATTTTCTCATATGTGTATTTTAAATGGATTAGGTATTGTTTCTGATATTGAGAAATTCTGTGTCTCTAGATGTAACTGCATAGAATATAAAATTAAAGGCTTTGTTATTATTACTTACACAGCCTACTCATTTGTTAGCTGCCTTTCCCAAATGCATATGGAACCAATAATTTTCAGAATCATGTCATGATTTGTATCATAGTTTGGATTTGTTTTTAAGGAAAAACCACATCTTTCATGTGATTTTTCTTACTCTTTTGAAAAACAAAGATGAAAAGTAGCATCATAATTAAAAACAGTTATAATAGATTATCTTAACTAGCCATGAACTTTTTGGTCACTTACTCTCAATATTGACTGCCTCCCTGAGAAATATTTTAAATCACAATAACTTTGAAAGACAAAAAACTGTTTTAAAGTATGGAGTGTCAGAATAGGTTCCTGTTTAAAGGTGGATTGGTTGTTCCTGGCATTCTAAATCTGAGAAAATATCTTAATTGCCTTTAGTAATGGAAGGAGAAATCTATGTATATGTCTGAGTTTTCTTTTCAAATCAGAGCATGGTTCCAAAACACTGTCTGGATCATTGCTATTGGGAATAGTGCAGCCGTGAAAATTGAATTTTACTAGAAGCTTCCATTATAACTCTTAAGTGCTTGGTTCATAATAACTGATGGTTCTTTGTGACTTTTCATTAACAAATTGGAATATAAATAAACACATGAGTTCTGTACACTTTAGCATTAGATAGAACAAAATTCTTTTCAATGTCATCAGTTCCTTTTTGAAACCGGTAAAATCTTGGGGCAAGAATTACTAATCTCTCAATGTCTCCAATAGTGCTTTGCTAGAACTGTGATGGTAGATCATACTTTGTAGCAAGTATTTTGCTTTCTTCACTTATGATCTGAGTGCATATGTTGCTGCAAGCTAGAAATAATCATTTCAGAGAGAAATTTTTTGAAATTTAATTTTATAGAAGACACATTGTCATTTTCTGATTAGTTTTTTAATTTGGAGTAGTGGTTATTAAGTTAGAGCTCACGTCATACTTTTTGATGAACTTGGGAGCTAAAAATTATATCCAGAATGATTGGGAGTTTTTGGTTCTTCCAGCTTTTTTGGATATTAAGATATTTTCTCAGATACAGAATGCCAGAAATATCCAAGCGACCTTTAAGCAGGAACCCATTCTGATACTCCATACTTTAAATGTCCTGTTGTTTCCTCCAGTAACTACTTCAGTGTTCATTTTTGGGGCAAATTAATTCTATCAGTTACTCTCCTTGTTGATAGATTCCTGATTTAGAGCCATAATCATAACTTGCTTATCTTTCCTTGTAGCATCAGAGGCTCCTTGAAATGCTAGATACAGAGAAGGAACTGTTAAGAGAGAAAATAAAGGAAGCTTTGATTCAGCAATCTCAAGAACAGAAGGTATTATTTTAAGTGTGCTCAGAGTACAGAAAGAATGTGTTCTGCTACCTGGAATAATACATTAGTGTCTTTCCAACCATCTTACTGCTTTCAGGAAATATTGGAAAAATGTTTGGAGGAAGAAAGGCAAAGAAATAAAGAAGCATTAGAATCTGCTGCAAAGGTATTTCCATTCATAGTATCAACTTTCTTTTAAGTAGAATTAAAAACTGAGTTCATTTTCAATCTACTTTTGAACAATGTTTTATTCCAGAAAAAAATTGAGAGTATTTTTTTCTTATTTTTCAAGCTTAGGATATGACTACTATATATTCTTGTTAAATTCATATTATATAAGATTGTGATGACACTGAAATTATTTATAATATAAATTACTTATTAACAAATATATTGGAGCACCAATATCTACTTGGTATTTGATTGATATCATGAGGGTGTATTTGTATAAAACCAGGTAAGTAGTTTTTAAAACCATGCTTAAAATAGCTCATCTAAGTAATGTATTTAGAAGTATGAAATATACACATGTCAAGAAATAAACTGTACTAACTTTTAAGTGTTTACATTTAAAATTAAATTTAGTAAATAAATGTGTGCATATCACTATGCCATGGGTAGATATTCAAGGATTACTTTGATTTTTGTCATTTTCTTAAAGAATGACAGATAAGAAAAAATATAATACAGATAAGAAAAATATTACTTATATGCCAATAAGGCAGGGAAGAATTAACTTATTATGAGTTCACAGATAGCATGTCCACATCATAGAAATTTTTAAGCAACAAAATACTTTAGAAATAAGTCTTAAAAGGTGGCTAGCATTCTGAACCAGTTTGAATTTGATTCCATAGGTAAGGAAGCCATGTTGAAATTTCTTTGTATGGATATGTCATAATGAAAACTGGCATTAGTTTTAGGGAAATCGGAGTCAGAAAAGGCTAAAAGCAGGGGAATAATTAATAGAGTACATCTGAAATCTGGATAAGAGATAGTTTTGGTACAAATAGACCATAGCAGCATGGAAATGAAGGAAATAGATTCTGGAAGTAAAAAGATGAAATCAACATACATGTTTGCTGTAGATAACATGGAAGGAGAGAAAGGTGTAACCTCCCAGGTATGGACTCAAGAACAAAGCAGAATGTAGTGCTCTATCTTTTAAATGGAGTTTGAGGTAGTTGAAGCAAAAATTAAAATCTGGGAAATATGTATCTTCTTTCCAGTACTTAATGTGATTTTTTTCTGTCATGATAAAAAAGGAATATGTCCCCATCTAAAGAAGTATAACTGAATGAATCAATATTTTCCAAAGAACAAATGTTTAAAAATCATATTAACAAATGATTCATTCAAAGTGAAAAAAGAATTATAATGTAAAGAGTGTGAAATTTTCATAGAACATAATTTTATTTTTCTTATTGCAACTAACTGTTAAGAACTACCCTGAAAGAAACTGACTACTAAATATTTCTTTTTTAAAATACGTGTATGTATGAGATTGAGTTTTCCTTATATGCCTTAACAAAAACATGAATCATTAAATATTTAATACAGAAGGCAGATAGGAGAATCTAGCTATCCTCTATTAAGTCATTTAACAAAGCAGTTAAAGAAGTTACTGTTTAAGTTAATGACATTAAGCATAATGTCATTATCACTTTTTAAATTTTGGAAAGTAATTATTTTCATAAAGTATAATATTTGTTAATATATAATGTATTTAATGTTACTAATTTTAAATAAATTAGTAAAATTTTAGTTTACTTGATTTGAATTACTAATGTAGCACATATTGATATGTATGGCTGACATAAACTAAAACTTCTTGACCTATTCAATAATTTTTAAGATTAGAACAGGATCCCAAGACTATATAGTTTAAAATCTGCTACTTTAAGCTAAGGCTTCATTTCTCTGAAGTATAGAAATACTAGGGAAGTAAATTGGAATATTGGCATTAAAAACAAGAATATATTTTATGGAATTATTTAATATACCTAAAAACAACAATGTGAGAACTAAGCCACAGGATCAAATTTTATGTCTTTGAGGTTAACCAGGTTTGTCTTATTGTGCAGTCACTCATATATTTTTGTTTTGGTCATTATTTGTTTTAAAGCTTGAGAAAGAAGCAATGAAGGATATAGTTATGAAAGCCGTAGAAAAAGAACGAAAAAATTTGGAAAAGGTTCATGCTGAAGAAAGGGAATTATGGAAGACAGAACATGCAAAAGACCAAGAAAAAGTATCTCAGGCAATTCAAACAGCTATACAAGAACAACGGAAAATAAGTCAGGTGAGTAAAATCAACTAAACATTTTTCCTTTATTTTTCACAAAATAAAATAACCTTACTATTATTTTTTTTGTACTTAAAATCACCTTACTGGACATGGTAGCATTTAATTTTTCTCTTTAATATTTATATTTCATACTAATGACTTTTAATATTTCAGTGTTCTTTCGTCTTTCTGATATTAAAAGTGCTGAAACTTATTTTACCTTTTTATTCTGTTTTCAAACATTTCAGAATCCACATTTACATTTAAAGCATTCTAACTACATTAAGGAAAAACTAAAAATGACAATGGACTTTTCATTTCCTTCTGAATTCTTCATGTAAAGTGAATTACAAATAAATTAAATATTAAATATATAAACTTTATACACCAAGAAGAATTTGGTAGATACTAACATTCTTTGAAAGAAAATGTCTAAGGAGGACTGTTGAAATGGTATAATACCGCCACATAGTAGCTTCTTCGTAAATCCAGTCCCACTCCTTGGGAAGCAGAGATCAGGCAGTCCAGGCCAAAACTTAGCAAGACCCCATCTCAACAAACAAGATAGATGTGTTAGTACATGCTGGTGGTTCAATCAACACAGGAGACTCAATTAGGAGGATTGTGGCCAGAGGTTGGCCCTGGGCAAAGAAACAAGACCCTCTCTGAAAAAGATTAAATGCAAAAAAGGTTGGGGTTTGACTTCAAATGCAAGGCCCTGAGTTCAATCCCCAGTACTTTAAAAAAAAAAATACTTGAAACAACACAAATCTTTATTCAAGAAAAATGGTTAAATCTTCCCAAGAACAGCCAGCTTTGTAGAGTTTTTACTTTCTCTGTTCCCATTTCTTCCTCCCCAGCACATGGTAGCTTTAAAAAGTAGTAGCCTGACTACTACACGAACTATGAAAACCCATAATGTAGAAGCCACTTCAGGGGCAAGAGAAGGTTTGGGGGCTTCACAAAGCCATATCTCCAGTATGTGACCTTTCAGGCAGCTTCCTGGAAACCTATTTGCAGGGCTTGTTGATACTTGACCTGACTCAGGATAACTTAGTGGGGAAAGCCTTTTACATAGGATGTGTTTCAAAAAAAGTGTCAATCATTTGTACTCTCAGCTGCTTGGGTTAGAAATACCAGTTGGGGCAAACAAGAGGCTGGCAAAAAATCTTCAAAGGAACATCTGAGAGGAAAGTGTTTTGGCATAGATGGTAGCTTTGAAAATCTCTGACTTTTGAAAATAGTCTTGAAATTCTTAAAGGTCACACACATGCCCAAGAAAGGCCTGAGGAGGCTCTGTGTCAGTAAGCCAGTAGAACTGCAACCTACCAGTAGTGAAGTTGTGTCACAGCACGCTGAGCCTTTTGGAAAAGGATAGAAAACAGTGGTTCAAAATACTCAAGTAAATTATCTGTCCAGTCATTAGCTGACCACTAAGCTAGCCCAGAAGAAACTTCAGTAGCTACATGTGACAAGGAGTATAGGCTTTGCAGAATCCATTCTACTAGTTACTACCTAAAGTTTCTAAACAAGCAAATAGCAACAATAGAAATCACATAAAAAAACAGCAACAGGAATATTTCTCTAGATTTGTAAGTCTTTGTCTTACATATTATGAGTATCTAGACACTTCAGAAATTGTGTTACAATTTTTTGATGGACTACATGAATGTTTAAAGGTGTGCCCAATTTGCTGCAAATGCAAGGGAGCATTTATCCCTCTTCCTACTGTTACCCATGAGTACTTACCATTTTGTTGGAAAGAAAATGTCCTGAGTTTATATCTTCAAAGTTCTGTTTCCCTTACAGCACAGGTTAGATTCATGTACTTACTTACTTATCTGAGAGCTTCAAAATTGTCTTACCCATATCTCTTAGGAGACCCAAGTGAGTGTTTAATTCACAAAATGTGTTCCAGAAAAAACAACAATTGCCCTTAAAAATGAGGAATAGAGTCTATAGTAGTAGGCAAAACATCTGAACAAAAAGATGTAATTTCATAATTGCTAGTATCATAGCTTCTTTTGGAGATTATCAGATGTCGCATGGAGGTCTTTGTATGCTAATTGTGCTATGTCTTCTATGGTATAGAATCATTAACACAGAAATCCTGTTGGAGTTCCTCTGCAAGTTTTGGGCTTCTCTGTCCACAACTAGACGAGTTTCATAATTCTGGAACATTTGAAGCCACTTCCTACTATCTTCCTACTATCTCCTCCTCTTTTCCTCCTTGGTCACCATTTCTTTATTTTACATATCTACACACACTTTATTCTCTAAGTCTTTTGATATCACAGCTTTATTTTACTTTGTTCTCTCTCTCTCATGCTTATAAATAATATCTTCTATCTTTCAAGTTATTATCTTACTCGTTTGCTTTTAAAATTCATTCATTGAATTTTTAATTTTAGCCCATTAAATTTTAAGATAATTTTAGCTCTTTTTTAGTTTTATAGAATTTTTGTGTCCTTTTAAATATGTTATGTCATTGCGTTTATTTCTTCTCCTTGCTCTTAGAATAGCTTAATATCCTCAAGACAAATAAGCTTTAAGTGGTTGGGCAATATGTTCTCAATGTTTGTGTTTTCCCAGAATTCCATATATTGAAATTTTAAACCCCAAAGTGGTGTTATTAAGAGGTACATTAAGCCTGAGGGTGTAATGAGAGCTCTGCATTCATAAATGGGAATAGTGCTGTGATAGAAGGGACCCTGAGAGCTAGCTAGCCCCTTCCTCTATGTGAAGACACAGTGGAAAGATACCATCTATGAGAAAGTGAATCCCCACCCTGATAAGTGGTACCCAGCCTCGAAACTGACAGAAATAAATTTCTATCATTAATGGGACACTTAGTTTATAGCTTTTGTTATAGCAGCCCGAACAGAAGATACCAGCTTACTGCCCCATAATTCTTTTAATTTCATTTTTGTATGGATTAACTTCTTCAGTTTTCGAAAGCAAGAGTCTTGTTATTAATTATGTAGTGTACTGATTCTAGGAGTCTCATCTATATTATATCTTAAACAAAACTAGGAATTCCATATTTATATAACAAAAAGAAAGAAGTAATACATTAAAATTTGTACTGTATTATTTCTTGGGGAAAAGTGCATATGTTTGGATTTCAACTTTGAAAAGGCAGTTTTAAGTACTACTTGAGTATGTCTAATGAAATTGCTCTATTAGGCCATAGCCTCTGAAACCTTCTTATATGTAGCATACTTTTAGGTTTTGTTCTCATGTGTCAGTTTATGAGGGCTGGAACTTGGTATGTCATTCACTTACAAAACTGAAAGAAATTTTTTAGTGCCAATACTGATGATGAAGCTGCTCTTGCTCAGATTTGCCATTGAAAGCAACCAAACGTTCTACTTTTTCTGTATACATTTAAGGCACATGACATGATGATTTGATACTTGTATACACTGTGTAATGATTATCACAATTAAAATTAATAAATGCATCCATCATCATGTCTGCTCTATATTAGATCCTCTGGAGATTCTTCAACTTATAACTGTAAGTTTGTACCCTTTGATCAACCTCTTCCCATTTCTCTCATCCCTCAGCCCCTGGTGAGCCTGCTAATTTAAGCTGCCATCTTCGTTCTTACTGGCCCTCAGGCATCTAGATCATGTCAGGTCCTACGATAGCTGAGACAGGTGAGACGGAAGCCGGTAACCTGGGCATTCCCCAGGAAGACTGGTAGATCATGTAGCACCTCTGTGCCTTGCAAACATGTGGCACTGTGCCACGGTAGGGATTACGTAATCATTCCTAGTAATAGTCAAGTCTTGAGTTTTCCGGTTTTGTGCTCCTAGGGTGAAGGAATATCTCAGTATGTGTCTGGATTTCTCACAGATGGTGTTTGTGAGTACATTGTTGTTAGCTCAGTGTATCCTTGGGGGAGGAAGGTAGAAGACCCAGGGTTTCCTTTACCACCTGTTGCTGACATTATCTGGTATAGTCATATTTTAATATTTTTCTAAATTACTTAGGTAAAGGAAAAATTAAATTAATAAATTTGTTTATGAAAACCATGCAAGAAAATGAAAAATATTTTAGGTGTAGAATACCAGCTACAAGAAAAGTAGACATTTAGGAAGCAGCATGTAACTACTATCCTTGAAGAGAACTTTCTGGGATATGCTCTTTGTGACTCACTTATAGTCATCCCTAATTTTTAAGTAAACTTGCAGGCATCACTTTATTAATTAATCATATTTTAGGCAATTTTTAAAAAATGCAAAGTGACAGAGTTTTATTGGGAAAGAGCAGAGATTCCCATGTGGAAGGGGCCAGAGGAGAGCAGTCCTAAATCATATTAATTGCCTATGAAGAATTAATTGGGGAAAGCAATGAATTTTTGTAGACTAGTTTGTAAAAAAAAATCCCATGAGTTTAATTTATTTTCCTAAATTAGTTACATTGTAGGACCAGAAACATAATTTATGTGTAGACTTACCCCCTGGTCTAGTAGTGATAGAAATCTGAAATCTACCTTTTCAATCTGTTTATAACCTGGAGGATTTTAACTGTGAGTTTTAGATTTATTATTAATATCCTTATTATTCCTTTCAGGAAAGCCCCTCTAAATATTAAGTGTTATAAAAACTGACAAAATATTTTGTAGCAATAAGGAAAATAATAATAGTTACTCATGTTTAAGTTCTGTTTATTTGACTTTATTCTAAATATACTAGGCTATATAGCTAAAAAGCTACTTTTAGGGATTTTTTTCATTTGCTTGCCAGTAGAAAATAATAAAGTGTCAGGGGTGGTGGTCATGAACATAGCAATAATTATAACATTATTGTTTATCATTAAACCAATTCTAGCTGGAGGAGTGGCTTAGCTGGTAGAGTACCTGCCTAGCACGCATGAGGCTCTGAGTTCAAACCCCAGTACTATCCAAAAAAAAAAAAAAAAGGAATTAATCCAGCTCTGTGTGTCAGGCACTTTTCTAATTGTTTTACATGTCTGATCTGACTTAAATCTCACAACCACCTTATGAG